AGTTTTAATTTTTTACTAATAAATGCTACTAATTAGATCTATGTTAATATTTTTAACAATATAATACCATATATTTTAAAACTAACTAAAAACAAAACCATTTTTTTATCAAAGTGATGGCTAAGCAATTCAACTATCCCAATCAAATTGATCAACCTATGAAGTCATAGTTAGGTAATAAAATTTTTAAAATAGAAGTAAATATATAAAATTACAACAAATATAGAAAAATTAGAGACATTTATGATATTTTATAATAATAAATAGTTCAGCTTTTGGGTTAAATGTATTAAGCTTTAATGCCATAAACAAATAATAAAAGTTAATAAAATACAAATATACAAAAATAAAAAAATACATAAATTTTGCAAAAAAAAAAAAGCATTCATGCACATGTATATTATCGTATATTTATCATATTAAACAAAAAGTAGGTGTGATATATTAGAATTATTTTTACACACAAAAATACAAAAAAAAAATTGGGCACATCTATAATTCTATATTTATACTACTATTAAAAATGTGAATAAAATTGTGGAACTTTCTTTCAACTAAAATACTCATTTTGAATTTAGTCCCCATTTAATTGTAAATTGAACTACTATTTTTCACTTCATTCAATTCCCTCTATTTATATCTTACAATTTTTTGATAAATGAACAAAAAAAAAAGATATACCAAAAAGAGAAAACACTATAAAAATAAGAGTCTATCCAAAGTAGGTAGGTTTGTAAATGATACTTGAAACTTTACAACTCGATCCGATTATCACATATTTGGGTGAGGTATTTATGTAATCAGATTTGGATTTTACAATTTGCATTTGACTAATAATAAAAACAAAAATTAAAAAAATATATAAATTTTATAGAAAAAAATGGATATATTATTACTATCATTATCATCATCTAGAATTGACACATGCAAAGCACGTGTATGCTTACTAATCAATTAAATGTCTCATTTCTATCATCTTGTGTCTAAACATATTACACATCACACAACATGACCATTGACAAGATTGAATAAGAAAGAAGAAAAAATGCAGAAAAAGATTTTAATCTACTTATATATATATATATATATATATATATATATATGCCACGTCATTACGATTCGAGTTCCGGTTCGACCTCTACCCCATGTCATTACCTTTCCCTTCCTTTTCCTACGTGTTTTCCTTCAACCCAAACACAGCCTAAAAGACTAAAAGCTTCCCTTCTCTTATTCTCCATCTTACTATCTTATTGGAATTTTTTTTTCCATAAGAAATAATAACTAAGTGGCCAGGATTCTCTCTTTGAAAAATAAAAATGGAGGCTCACCTACAAGTGAGGGTACAAGTCTGCACTATCAAACCAACTTCGGTTTCAAGGCAAGATTCTCTTTGAAATCTCGCTAGAATATTAATAAAACTGATTCTGACTACAAAACTCAAGCCTCAAATTTTCTTTTAGCTTCTTAAGCTCCAATCTTCAAGTTCAAGGATCAAGGTTTAAAGCTTCCCTTCTGCTTCGATTTCGACTTGAAGTTCCAGAGTTCAGAATAGAAATTAGAAAGCTTCAAGGTCCCCCTTCTTTCTCCTTCAACTCCATGATTCGCTCAGCCTCTCGAAATTCAGAAAGTTAATCTATTCTCTTAAATCTCCGATACTGAGGTTCGCTCAGTCTCAGAGTTCTGGTCTCCCCATTCTCCAACGACGACGGACTGTTAGGCTTTTTTTCCCCTTTCTGCTCAGAAGCTCAGATTGCAAATTTGCAATGGTGGCTGGTGACTGGTGATTGGTGATTGGTGAGTGAGACTGAGTTATGGGCCCAACATGAACCCCCATTTACCTTGGCCTTTGCTGGGTTTAAGTCAATCTGATAGATGCTAGCATAAATCATCAATAACAATGTAGTCCAAATGTTAAGCCCAACTCATCGGTACTCCATCTCGGGCCTAGGATCCGACACCAACAAGAATTTGAATAATCTCCAATCTCCAGCCCAACTGGAGATACATCGTGTGATATGACTGTCTACATTTTCTACTCCAATGGATCAACATCAGGGTGGGACTAAAAGAAAATGAACCTCAACATACCAAGTGAAGGTGCTCATGGGCTTGAGTCGATTGACTAACCTGCACCACATACATGGACCGTACAGAGGTTCCGAATTATATAAGCCCATTTAGCTTCGTGAGAAGGCAGGGATCCAACTTGCAGCTTTCGATTGATGTACTGTTGTATTCCTACCTTGAACAAACGGCATTTAAAATGATATTAACAGATCCGTTAGACCACATTATGTGGCATTGCTAAAGTACGAAAAAAAAAGGCTATTTTCAACCCTTTGAAAATGGGCTACTTTAATAAAGTTAATTAAGTATATTATTTAGGGGTCTAATTAAATGATCCTAAGGTATAATTAAGTTTTAATTTACTTACTTAATTAATAAAATTAATTAATTAAATGATCATAAAGTATATAGTTTATTTAATTGAGTTAATTAAATAATTAAATAAATTGCATTAATTAAGATAATTAAGTAAATTAAGCAATTTAATCAGTAAAAATTAATTAAGGAAACAAGTGAATTAATTAAATTAAATAAGCAAAGCTAACCAAACTAAATAAGTAAATTAAGCCAAATAAGCAAGGTAATTTAAAAGTTGCCCCAAAATGGAACCACTTTTACCACTAGTTTCTAAGTCAACAATTCAATTGTCTACTCTAGTCTGAATGGATAAATCCATAACATTTAAAAAATATAATTAAAATAAAAATGACTTAAAAACCATTTATTGGATCAAACAATTTAACAGGTCAACCGTTTAGGATAATGGTCTGTCAATGTTTTTTTGAAAAATTTACCAGTTCTTGAGTTGAATGGTTGGATACAATTGACCAATTCCTGGGTCGAATAGTTTGACCATTCGAAATTTTTAACTTGATCAACAAGCTGTTGACCCAAATAGTTGAACCACTAAACTGTTCGATCTGGTAAATGGTTTTTGGGTCACTTTTATTTTAATTATATTTTATTTTTTATTTTTCAAAATGTCATGGATTGATCCATTTGGACCAAACAAATCGATTTGTTGACCTAAAACCGGTGATCAAATTGGATTGGTTTTTAAAACCTTACTTAATTGGCTTAATTTACTATTTAAGCTTAGTTTGGAAGGAGTGCAAATACAAATATATAGAGTACAAATACATTCAAAATATAAGGTTTTGCACTTTACATATATGTATTTGAATACCATACACATTTTGCACCTGATTCAGTTTCGCATCCTTTTATAATTATGATTTGTACTTTTATTTGATAGAGAATTTGTACTTTTTGTCTCACTTGTATTTATCTACACTGAATGTTTTACACCTGAAAAACTGGTGCAAAATTTACCTCAATTCTCTCTTGTATAAAATGAGGACCACATCATCTAAGCTTCTTACTTTTTTTGGTAAAACCTAAGCTTCTTACTTCACTTCCAAACAAATAACCCTCGTCTGTTTATATATATATATATATATATATATAAAAACTCCTCCCACCTCCGTTTTATTGGATATCATTTTATTTCCAATTTTATTCTCACAAAGTAAGGCAAAACCAAAAATGAAGCAAAAACCTTGCACTCCAAAGCATTTATGCTAATGCAAATGAATTTTGCACTGCAACCAAATTGAGCCTCTATTTTTTGTATCGAAGGCAGTCAATGGACTCTCTGAATATCCCATCCGAATCCGGAATCCGATTTGAATTATCCATCTACATAATCGGATCAGAAGCGAATCTGTTCCATTTGATCCAATTATGTTTCAAGCCTGATTAAGTTTATAATTAACAAGTTTGTTGTTTATATCAGTGTTTCATACTTAAAATTTATTACTCCAGCGATTATACAACACTGGCAAGGTTGAACCATAATAAAAAGATTATTCAGCCTGATATTTTTTATTTATGGTATATATATATATATACATTTGTTTTATATTTAATTTTATAAATTTATATTAATTTTATATAGATTCGCTGATATTTTATTTGAATTGGGTCCCAATCAAAATATCTAGATACTTAAATGAATCGATCCGTTTACAGCCCTAAAAGTAAAAGGTGATTTTTGCTTATGGAATATTGCAAATTTGTAATCAGTCCTAAACCAGTAAACCATCATGGACGCACCGCCCGTTCTTGACCCGACTTGGACTGAGAAATGGATGAGCTTATGCTAGGCCTTTTGTTCGGGGAACAATGTTTTAAGACTTGGCCTGGACCGGATGGTTGGACCATGAAAATTGGGAACTGGTATTTTTTTAGGTCCCGGTTAAATGACAGTTCTGGCGGGTCGGACGAGCAAATGACCTGATTAACTAGTAAAACCAAGACCCGGAGAGCATTCCGGTTTTTACTCCGGTCCGATTCTTCAAACACTGGTTCGGAATAAACTTAGATCAGTTTTTCGTTGGAGGTCCTAATGGGTTGGGCTTGCCCTGGGCCCCTGACCCATTTACAGAACTTGAACGCTGAAAACGGAAAACCAACATCATCCTTTTCAGCGTTGACCCATATTACAATCAAGTCAACAGATACCAGATCTTCTCTTCTATTGACGAATGATTATCCACGTAATTTGTACGAATCGAACGGTGGAGATCACTCGATGTAGTTAATCCTTTAATTATCATTTTGCATGTGCGCCACGTGTCATCATCATGAATAGAGAAAAAGGAAAAATGATGGTGCGACTGTCGTGGGAACCCAACGGTCACATAAACGGGTAGCAGAGGAGACAAGCACGTGCTGCCTACGTGCGTTCATGCAACCGCAACTGACTTCCCACGATCACGATGAAATCCAAGCACCCGTCCGTACACAGCCCCAACGGTCATGTTGACCGGACATTCTCCAACGGTCATATTTACGGCTATTCTCGCCCGTGTGATCTCCATCGAACGACGGAAGTACAAAATTTCGGAGATCTTCTGGAAAAAGCTTTCCTGGTTCGCCATTTCTTTTCTTTTTCTCTCAGGCTGAGACTGAGAGGGAGGGAATCAATCTCAAAAACAGAAAAACATGACTGACCTCTATGGAAGTGGATGAGAGAAGGAAGAACATGAGCCTATCATAAAAAGGTCGTTCAGCTACGGTTCATGTTCTTTCGGGTGGTTTTCTCAGTTGGGTGATGATCAGTTTCTCTGCATGTTTGAAGGGCTTTTAAATCTGAGTCTTCTGGGCTTGAATTAAGATACAGGATCAGCAGGAATGGAGCCATTACTGTTTCCAGTTGCTGATCTGGGTCTTAAAGTTATGGGAGATCTCAGCTGCAAATTTATGCATGTAACTCTTAGCATTTTCTTGCATGGTGTTAGTGCCATTGGGCAGAAGGATCACGGGTTTTTGCAATGAGATTTCCGGCAAAATTTGGAATCCGATGACGGTTTTCCGGTAGGTATAATAGATTTTGTCTTATATCATATATTCTTTAATTCTTTTGGGGTGTTACAGCTTCCCTTGAATCGTATTCTTTGTTTTCTGAAAACAGACATTCATTCAAATTTGTGAAATATTAGAAGATTCTTATTCTGATTTCTTGCAACAAAAATTTCCATCGGATTCCTCTTTTGCATTTCTTTTCGTTTCTCTTTCTTGAAAAAATTCACATCCACACACACATTCTCTCTCTCTCTCTCTCTAGTTCCCTGAAAACTGCTTTCCAGTTTTTAATCGGAGTTCATGATTTTATAAAACAAAAAAGGCATAATTTGCGCATGGTCTGGAAAAATAGAATCAGGGAAGGAGAAGAGAAAACAGGGAAAAAAGGGGTGATTGAATTGAATTTTAACATAAAACTCAGAAAAATAGAAAATTGGAAGGATATAGAGAATGTTGGCTGGGTGTTCTACATTGCTGTCGCCAAGGCATAGATTGAGGAGTGAAGCATCTGCGCAGTTTCAAGCTTGCCATTTCCCGTTGCCTTCCATGAGTACACAGAGATTGGAGTTGCCGTGTAGTTTCTCACGGAAGGATGCACAGCGGTCGCAGCCCATAAGACCCGTCAGCCTTTCGGTGGAAAAACAGGTCGAAGCAAAGGGTAGTTGTTCTCTTAAACAGAAACTTCGTCTCCCTCCTTCCATTACCACTGCTCAAACGTCATACTGGGAAGGAAGGAGAGAGGTTGAAGATCGATTTTGGGAGAAGGGGAAGAGCTTGAAGCGGTTTGCCGAGCAGAGTTCATCAGATGAAGTGTGCGTAAGCAGAGCCAAGAGAAAGAAGAGTAGCAGTAGTACCACCTCGCCAGATGATTCTTCAGAAGGCGAGAGGTTGAGCGTAAGTCAGTTGGGCAGAGACCATTTTTGGTTTCAGCAGACTGTTGGGGTCCCCCAGTCAATCCTGGGAATTACAGGCCTCGACCCTCCTTCGATTCCTTTCCCTGTTTCTTCTTCTGAAGAGGAAGAAAAAGTCTGCTTTGTGCCTAGTGAAGTGATAGTTTGTCCAACTCTTCCCTTGTCCAACAACAATCCTTGGGTCGAGCCCGTTGTGACTGAGATTACAGATAAAGGTGACAGGGATGTGGAGGCTAGCCAAGAGCCTAAAGAGGCAAGCTCAGGATCAAGTTCATCAGAAAGTGATAGTTTGTCTCTAAGGCTAAACGAGAACTTTGGAAGGGAATCTGGCAATGGATCTCAACTCCCTTACCCGTCTGAGAGAGCCGGAATGTCAGCCGGCGGCGAGGATGTCCAAGCGGAGCATCAAGGATTCGAGCTTGTGAGCTCACTGGTGGCCTGTGTGGAATCAATCGGCTCAAAGAGCATTGCTGCCATCAACCATTTTCTGGCAAGACTCGGAGAGCTCGCTTCACCAGAGGGCACGTCCATTCACCGTGTCGCTGCCTACTTCACAGAAGCTTTAGCTCTGCGCGTAGGAAGGCTCTGGCCCCATATTTTCCACATCGCCGTCCCTCGGGAGCTTGGTCGGTCCGAAGACGACATGGGTACTGCACTGAGACTTCTAAACCATGTCAGCCCAATTCCGAAGTTCCTCCATTTTACATCAAATGAGATGCTGTTGAGGGCATTTGAAGGAAAAGACAGGGTCCATATCATAGATTTCGACATAAAGCAAGGTCTACAATGGCCTAGTCTGTTTCAGAGTCTAGCATCTAGGCCTAATCCTCCGAGCCATGTGAGAATCACAGGCATAGGTGAGTCGAAGCAAGAGCTGCTGGAAACAGGCGATAGACTGGCGGGATTCGCCGATGCCTTGAGCCTTCCTTTTGAGTTCCATGCAGTTGTCGACAGGTTGGAGGACGTGAGACTGTGGATGCTTCATGTGAAGGAGAAGGAAAGTGTAGCCGTGAATTGCATTCTCCAACTACACAAGATGCTTTACGACGAGAACGGTGGGGCCTTGAGGGATCTACTGGGTCTGATACGGAGTACTAACCCCACAGTCGTTGTGATGGGAGAGCAGGAAGCCATGCACAATGAAGCCAGTCTGGAAGCGAGGGTCTGTAATTCTCTGCGCTACTACTCCGCCATCTTTGATTCGATTGATTCTTCTCTGCCATTAGATAGCCTGGTTAGGATCAAAGTAGAGGAGATGTATGCCAGGGAGATCAGAAACATAGTTGCTTGTGAAGGAAATGACAGGTTGGAGAGGCACGAGAGCTTCGCGAGGTGGAGGGGATTCATGGAACATGGGGGGTTTCGATATGTGGGGATTGGAGAAAGAGAGCTGCTTCAGAGCCGAATGCTGTTGAAGATGTACGCCGGTGAGAAGTACAGCGTTGAGAAGCAAGGGGAAGAAGGAGCTGGGCTTACTCTCAGGTGGTTAGAGCAGCCTCTGTACACTGTTTCTGCGTGGGCACCTGTTGATGTTGCAGGAAGCTCCTCTTTACCTCAGGTGCCAAGTTGATTATGGGGAGTCATCTTCATCTTCTTCCATGGATGCCATGCAGAAGGGTAGCATTCCAATTCTTTCTATTTCTAGATAGAGAAAGCTAAATTTTAACTCATTCTTTCATTCTTTCATGCAGTTAGAGTTAGCTCAAACAGCAAACATAGCTTGATACAGAGTTCTTTTGTTCTAAGTTCAAATTCATTACAGTTCCATTTGTTATTTGGAGTCTAGATTGATTTTATTCTTTCATTCTTTTTAGGAGGGAAGGGTTCAGATATTCTTTTATGTATGTTGAAATTCTTTAATAGCAGTGTCAGTTTTTTTCTGCTTTGTTTGGGTGGGGATTATTACTTTTTCCATACCATGTAACTGGGAATTTGATTTTATTATGTATGAAATGATTTCATTGAGTTGTGGTCCTACCATGTATTTGCTTTCTATTGTACATGATTTGGTATTTGTCCTTTTTCAAGCAATCTATTAGTATTTTAATCAATCTCAAGTCCAATATGATGAATAAATAATTATTGTCTATCAAACCAAACACAACCCAAATAAGGAATTGAAGCAGCTATGTCTATTTTGATAGAAAATAAGAAGGAAATAGAATCTCTCTTGTTTTCTATCAAACCAAACACAGCCTTCTTTCTGAAGTTAGGGATGGATCAACGATTCAACTCAAATCTCAACAATCAAGAGCACGTTCTGTGCCCCTTCTGATGATGGGTTTATTGGTTTAGGTTGGAACCTGCCTACCAAAGTTTTTTTCTTACAAACATGTAAACAGATTGGCCACTGCAAACTAGCCTTGAGAAAATATTTTGTAGTTACATCTATTGAACCCAACCCTCTCTCATACTTTTAAAATGACCTCTTCTGCAACAAGTATTCATTGATGACCATTTGAATTTGAACACATCTTTGATCTATCTCCAATGATCCAGTGGTCCACAGGTCCGGGATCTGCTACCAACTCTGTCCCAACAGGCTGAGTCCGGATTTCCTACCCACGAGGACTTTACTCACACTTACACACATGAGATTGCAGCCACACATGGGGAACATCTCATTCTTACATGTTATCATGGGTGGGGAGATGTTCCCAATGCACGGAGGTAGTGTTTTATGCTTAGATTTGTTGTGAGTAGGAGATCTGGAGTCCAACAGGCCACTCCAGTTTCACATTGAGAATACCTCCCTTGTCATTCAGACGGGGTGGGTTGACTTCTCAGGCCATCAATCCCATTCCCATCTAGGGTGTTTGCTCGACCAGGAGTCGGATCAAGTCTCACTGGGTGGATTTCGCCTAAGGAGGAGGAGTCACGTAGTACGAAAAGACGAAGACAGGACTTGGTCCATTAGTCAGACTACAACCCTCCCCAACACTTCTCCTGTTTGGCTGATCCGAACTCGCTGCCATGTGCCCTAACCCCTAATACAGAAAGATTTCTCTATGACAGGTATACACTGGTCACTGGACAAATCAAGTGATAAAGATGAACTTATCCTAACCAATCTGATATCTGAGACAAACCAATCTGATAGATAGTGTTGGGCGTTGGGCTGCACTGATGTATTGTCTCTCTTATACCTCATTATGATAACCCTTGAGTCCTTACAAATGGGGACCTATGATCTTCATGGGTTTGACAATGTGAACACCTTTCAAGCCCACTTTTGATGATGGCATGTCCCCCCTCATCCACAATTGAAGACGAAGACCAAACAAAGATGAATTTACTAATTGCGCTACTAAGAGCACACATCTCATTGGTATTGGCTTGCTATTTTTAACAGATAGTGGGCCACCATGGGCCAATGATAAAGGACTTCATAGGGCCTCTTTGTATGGGCCGTATTAGCCTCACTCAATGGGCTTGAAAAAGGATAGGATAACAGTGAAAATGTAGAAGCAGAGTTTCAGTTCTTTTCACGTGAAAGAGGTTGCTGACACTTGACAATGACAAGCAGCTGCATGGGATTCCATGGAAGAAAGAGAGTAGCAACCCAGTAAGCAACATAGCCAAATTAAGCAACCTCTTGGTGGGTTACTAAAAGAAATCTCAGTCTCTCCTCTCTGGAGTTTGGAGCCGCTAACGAGTAATGGCACCACGAATGCTAGTGGATTCTCTTGTCAGCAGCCAAGAGAAACAGAGAATTCAAAAACCCATCAACGATCCCAGGGTAACAGAAAGCTTGCAATTTCGAACTAGAATTACGGTGACCTGATCATTAATTTCTTGGGTAGCCGGCCCAAAGGCTCAACTCGTCGATTTCCTTCTTCTTTGTTGTAGTTTTTTGTCTGCAGTCCTCTCATGAAGTAGTGAGTGAGTTGTTCTGATTGGTACATTTTATAAAAGAAAAGAGAGAAAAATGAGCGAATAGTGGGCCAAGAGAAATGAATCTGGATGGCAAATGTGACCCCAGCACGGTACCACCTACCACCATTCATGGCCTCATGTGCTTGTTTCAATGGGGATCCATGCCCATATGACAGCTGTTCTACTTCTAGAGAGAGAGAGAGAGAGAGATTAATAAAAAAAGGAATGCAGAGCAAAAGCTGAGGGACACATTGAGGAGAGACAAGGAGCCGCATTGGATGGATCCCACAATGAAGGATACACCCTCCTGGTGACTGATAAGGCGCTCACCAGTTGATTGCTTCAGTTTCCAATTGATGTCCAGCTGAGTAGCGCCTGAAATTAACAACGCCCATGGCTCATGGTTGTACCAGTACACATCAGTGACCAGTGAGTGATTCAGTGTCAGCAATTGCATGTGGCTCTAAAATTAATTAAAGGGAAAAAAAAAAGATAGAGAATTGAGTGTTTGATGCAGTCTACAGTGCCAATGTCTTTCTACGTTCTAACTACAAGCTAACTTTCAACTACGTGATCTGTACGGACTATTGCCTGTTTTACTCTTCAGTAGCTGTTTCAGGGATTTTTGAGCTTTGATCTTGCTGTGACATTTGCTAATACGACGTTTCTTGTTTCTTACCTCCATAAAGTATTCTCTCTCCTATCTCTGCATGTGATTGCGTGGCTGACGGGTTGGCATTTTTGTAAAGAAAAACACTTCTTTCACTTTACCCAGATTAAAAAGGATGGTTAAAAAGAAGATTAAATTTGAGTGGGTGGTTGTCGTCAATTTCTCTCTGAGTCATTCCATTCGACAATCGACACATTTCCAAAAGCCCAGTTGGCCCCAACGTTTGCTTCTCGTCGTCAGCACCGCCATCTAACATCATTTTATCAATCATTCAATAGTTTCCTTTGAAATTTGATGGCTCAGAATTGACAGGCGAAGGAGTGAAGTTGGTAAGGATGTCATGCCATCATCTTCACCCTAGAGGTACTCCCTGCTTGCTTTCATCATCTCTGGATTTATTTATTAGTCGGGAATGCCTAAAATGAAGAACCCACTTGAATCTTCTTTTAAAATTCGATTTCTTTTGGTATTTTCATTCTTGTAATCTTTGTCTTTGACATGAATTAGCGTTCTTATTATTCTGTTCCGTGTAATCCGTGTAATCCGTGGCATCTCCATGTGGGTGTGGTGGTTAATTTTAGTCCCAGATTAAGTGTTTGAGGTAAGGATGGTGACAAAGCCATCTCCACCAGTCTGTGGACTTGGTCAGTCTATATGTCTAAGAAGGCAAGGAAACGCGTAGAAACTAATAACCAGTTCAGGAGAAGAAAAATAAAAAAGATTGGGTGCTGATTTGCTATATGGGTTACTTTCCTATGATAATCTTGAATTTTTTTTTTTTTAATTTTGAATCTTTTTTTGCTTATACTTTGAGCTATGGTTGACTGATATTTGACGCTTCTAAGGGAAGACATTAGAAGGTTCTCTCAATCCGGAAATGGAAAAGGTCTCTGACCCTCTGTAATTCTTTTCGGAAGATACAATGGGGAGTCGGCAGGTGGATGTTCATTATGTAAATGCGGCCATCTCTGGCATAATTGAAGAGAATTTCGAAGGATATTATTACCTTGAAAACAGCGGTCTCTCTCTAGAAGAGGTTTTAGATCAGGTGGGCTAGAATTTTGGCAAGCATCATTTATCCATTCGTAGTAGGGCGGGATACATGGTAGTATTATTGATCTTTCTCCAAGTGAAAAGGGTTAATGAAAAATGGATGACTGATTATGGTGCAGGAGACTGTCTACCAGTCACTCCTAACAAATACTAGGAACGACAACGCAAATGCTTCTGCAAGTACTGATTCTGAGCTGAGTCATGATCAAAGGGTTGGGGAAACCTCTCATGCTGACAATGTCGAGTCACAATTACAGATGGATGAAGCTTTAGCTAGAAACTTGCAAGCGTTGGAGGAGCAACGGGTTCCTGGTGCTTTTGTTGCTGAAACTACTGCAACTGAAACCGGTATACAGGAAGAATTCTAAACGGCTGTTTTATGTATTTTGTTGTTCTAGTTTGTGAAACTCAAGAAAACTGTTTTTTTAATTTAACATATTTGTTTTATTTGGTTTCCAAAAGTGTGCTTCTTTTGCTGATGTTTAGACCTGGATTTTGCACTTCCTATTGTTACTGGTTCTAGAGTTTAATGATTAGACTAGATTATAATTGCAACAAATGATACCTTTTTTGTTTGTTGTTTAGGTAGGTAATAAAGAGTATAAATGTATTAATCGCACAAGCATGGTAGGAGAGGAGAATCCCCCATGTAAAAGGGCTTATTGGTTGGTTATCCATACGAATTAATGTACACACCATCTGTGGTAACAAAAATAATGCCATTCGAGTCACTACTTTGCTTCACTCAAAACAGCTGACTCCTAACATCTTGGCTTGAGTTCATAAACTAATGACTTATATTTGAGCCTTCAGTTTGGTTAACAACCTTCTGGTTTTGCTCATGACTGAGGTATGGTCCAATCAATTTTTACCATTACTGAAATTATAGTTTTAGAATTTCTTCTTGTCTTAAGTAAACTAAAGCAGGTGGTTGAGTTGAAACTTGAAACTGTTCAAATTCTACAAACTGCCTGAAAATTTCATATGTTCAGCAATTAGGGAGATAATAATTTTGTTCCTTTTGGACATAAGTCATTAGAAGATGAAATCCCCAAAGTCATCTACTCAGATTGTATAATTTCTTTTATGGAGTTTTATTTCTTAAGATCATATATTAAACTTGAACATTTTTCTTTCTTGCAATAAATTCTCTTTGTTATTGATGAAAACTACTTTTCCTTTTTTTTTGAGAAAAATAACTAAATAAGGTAATAAAAACCAAATAGAGCTACACGAGTTAATATCTCACTCAGTACCTTCCTGTTCTCCAGACAAATAGATGGTAACATTTAGACTACATAATTCCTGTTCTCCATTACTTTTGGGGTAATGGGGTTTGATCCAATAAGGGGATTTTGCAATACTTTGATGAGTAGCTAGTGCTGTTTCTAGGGCATACTTTTGGCGTCTGGCACAACAACATGTGCATATCATTCTTATAAAAAAATTAACAAAAGTACAATTATTCATGAAAAAAAGGGCAAAACCATACTTCTGTCTAGGTCTGTATAGGCTTCGAAGTGGCTTTCATTTTGGGCCATCAACCA